CCCTTGAAATGTGAGTTTGATTTTGGCAGTCTTTGCAAGATACAGAATCCGGACCTGCCGGAAAAGCAGGTTTAACACGGTATTTCCGATACAAAACGAGGGTCGGTAGTTCATGCGGGGGGGCTACCATATATATATATATATATATATATATACATTATTTGATCGAAGCTTTCACGGACTACAGCAAAGCAGTGTGCAGTGACTACGGTACTTTGGCAGCTTGCCTTGCTCTCGAATTCCTCCGAATTAAGGCTGGAGACGGCGCCCACTGCCGAGACCCTTGATGTGGCAGCTGCGGCCCCTGCTAATTGACAGAGTCCCTTTCTGCATGAGAAGCTCAGGGTGGTAGAATTGGACTGTGCTTAAGTCGTCTGCCTCTCCAAGCTTTCAGTCTGCACTCATCACCAGATAGTAAGCACACGTCCAGGCATTCCATGAAACCATTGCACGCACATGCAGGGAGAGCCCTCCTGTGTTGCTGTATGCTTTTCTTTCCAGCATCAACTGCGGATGACAGCTTTCTGTTGCGAGGCCCATGCCGAGGAGCTGACACGTCTGCGAGAGGAGTCGAGCAGCGTGCTAGCTAGGTGGGGTCTTGAAGGAGCTTGGACTTGAGTGCGGGGTCTCTTACATGGCATCTGGAGTTCGGTTCGGCCTTTCAGGCCAGGAACGTCTCTGGGATGCTGAATCGCGTTTTTAGATACCAAGACCGGTGCAAGCCGGATGTGGCTATGGCATTGGGCACGAAACCGAATAGACAGCCTTATCTCTGGAAGCATGTGCTGCACAACAAGTTCTACCAGTCTTGGAGGGCGTGTAGGCCTGCACAGCAGTTGTTACTAGTATAATATCAATATTTCATCCCCCGCCCACACAGCTCGTATCGCATGAGAAGCACCAGGAGTGGTTCTAAAGTCACTGAAGCTTGCAGAGGACTTGGCGGCAAGTGTGGCGAACGAGGAACGCCTGCGGCTCTTTTCTCAGATGAGGGGCTGCGGATTTATTCTCCGTGCATGCATTCACCTCGCAGTCCAGGCAGCGGTTCCAAAATCTCATCTGTGTTGTGTTTGTATCTTCGTTTGCCTCAGTTTGTGCCTGGATCTCCGTCGGGCTCTAGCCTATGCCTATGCACCCATGCGGCCGTAGCGTTCACCCGTGATCAGATGGCTGAGCTTTCTCAGCGGGTGGATGAAGTCCTGCAGAAGCAGCACGCGCAGCTCCTGGCCTCCATGGAGGCTTGGTTGAGCAGGGTGGAGGAGACCCTTGACAAGGGGCGAATGGGGTTTGTTCCCCTCGCTCTTGGATTTGGTCCTCCTCAATTTTCCGAGATGCTCCAGGTGGAAAACACGACGCAGGAGTCGGGGTCGGTGGAGCTGGCCCTACCGCCTGAGAGGCAGGAAAGCAAGCAAAAGGACACTCCGACGCACTCCGTGTCCACCAAAACTATGCGAAAGAATCACGAATATGAGATGGCTCAGGAAGAGGCCACTCGCTTTGAGACTTACAAGCAATCAGTGACCAAGGAGGTTGCAGTGCCATCGAGCCCAAGTTGCTGCAGGAAGTGGGCCCAAGCTATCTCCGGCTCTGCAGCTTTCAATATTGTCGTGGCTTTTGTCATTATATCCAACTCAGTCTTCCTGGGAATGCAGCTGGAGTGGACTGCAAACTCGGGCATCTCGGTCTAACAGACGGGTCTCCTTTTTCCAACACAACACTAAACACTTTTTATGTGTGCTTAGATCCAGACCTGCATATGATGTGACCGACGGAGCAAGTAGCCCAGGCGACCATGATGCTGATGCAGCTTTTGCTTTCCTTGTTGGCCATGTTTGCTACGCTGTCATTTTCACCGTAGAGAGCCTTGGTGGCAAGTCTTCGTCAGCCTGATTCCCATGCAGAGGAAGAGTTGAGAAAGTGCCATCGCCTGAATTTTCCCAACCGTGTGTGTTGCTTGAGAATTGACGGTCGAATATCCTTGTGACAGCCAGAGCATGAAGCCTGTGCATCTTGTCCCACATGTTTAATGGATGTCATACTCACTATGTACGACGCTATCAGCATACTATAGCGAGATGAGATGTAGCAGAACCAGTAGAGCATGTAGCAGTGCGGAATCTTGTAGTCTAAGGTTCCCATATTCACAGATATAGCTTGATCTTCCGATGGGCCGAGCGTGGATATGCCTTCTTACAGTTTCCTGTGCTTGTCAGGACGACCATCCGGTTTGTGGCTTTGGGACCTGAGAAGTTCTTCTGTGGCCCAGACTGTGCATGGAATTGGCTGGACGCCAAGGGTTAGAAAGCTGCAGCGCGCTATGTGCCAAGTAGTATGTAATCCTTGGACACAGAAGTAGGCGTCAGGTTTCCTTTAGCCACACCAATCATGAAAGGATGATCAGAGTTTAGACGAACATTCGAAGCTAGCGTGTTCCAGGACATTTTCATTGTGGTCCCGGCTTGGGTGGAGCTCGCTGTGGACATAGGGGGATCTGCCAGCAACTTCCGGATCATACGCGTGTCTCGGACTTGTTCGCAGTTTGCAGTGCAGGTGTTTATTTCTTTGTGACCATGCAGCCCAGCCAGCATTGTCTGTAAGGTTGTTGTACTGACGATTAAAAGTGTGAGATCCTCTTCTCCTCATGCCCATGTGCGGTAGCACGTGTATGTTAGTCGACCATAGCGGCACAAGCAACGTGACCACCCTGATTGCACTTGACCCGCCCTACCGAGAGTACCAATCGGCGTAGACTCAGGTGTTCCGCGTTACCCGGCTACTGCAGCTCTTCCGGTCCATACGGCTTATTCGCTTCATCAGCGCTTTCCGCGAGCTTGTCTTGCAACTCGCACCAGCGCTTGTCGATGTTCTTTGGGGCTTTAGGTGTTGCAAAGCTTTTCGACAATCCCTCATAATCCTTGTCTGGAAACATCTTGTGTACATGACTGAAGCAGGGGCATCAGGCGCCTCGGGCCGTGGTTTCAGCCAAGGTCTGTCATTGACACCGTTCGCCAGGTATTCTGGGCCATGGTTCTCTTGGTCTTAATGATATACAGCTTCGGTATTTTGTTTACTGACATGTCTCTCCAGTATGTGGAATCGAACCCCGTGGACGAGGAGATGGAGAAGTACTTTGGGAGTTTGTATATCTCCTGCAACACACTTTTCCGGGCCTTGTTGGAAGGATTTGACTGGGTGGACGCAGCAGAGAGCCTGAAGCCTCTGGGTGCTTTCTGGATCCAGCTCTTTCATGTGTACGTCGCTGTGGGTGGCCTAGCGATCCTAAATGTAATCACAGGCCGGAGAGTCCATGGGCAAATTTTCTATGATGCAATGCCGTTCCCATGTGCCACGTTGGGCCGTGCACCCGTCACGAGTGCTTCTTTAGCTCGCTTTGACATCGCACTACCCACGTCCGACACTCACCGCTCTAGTGTGTGCTAGCTCTGGGCCCGTAGCCGGCATTGCTTTGTGCAAGACTTCTGCTGGGTGGGAATCGTTCGTTGTCCCGGCTGGCAGCCTGTGTTTTCGGGTCTGTTGCCTGCTGACTCGTTATTTGTTGCATGAAACCTGCTTGTGAGGCGTTTTGAGAAGTTGTTTGCACGGAATCTGCAAACGCGACATGTGAGTGCATAACATGTGTCATGCTGCGAAGTGTGGGACCGACGAGCTCGGCAGAAGCTGAAGTCGTGACGACGCTTGTGCATCACCCCTGGTTACTCGTTTCCCAGGCTGTGTTTATGGGTGCGGCAGCAGGGGTGCGGGTTGAGCAAACGTTCACGCATTTTCTCATGCTCCCGTACTGTTTGCTTGTCTGACCTGTGCTAGAATCATTGGAGGGCATGTCTTGGGTGGGCTGCGCCTAAAGTTTGTTGTGGTGTTGCTCATTTCTGCTTCCGGATACAAACGTGGACACGGCACGGCCTATGCCCCATGCTGTGACTGAGTCTCGGCCCATGTGTTTTGACAGCTCGCATCTGCTTCTGAAGTCGGTTTAATTTAACCGCTGTTGACCACATGAGTGTTAATGCGCTAGCGGGGTCAAAATGCCTGTCTGCAGCCATGCTTAACGAAATGTTAGGGCCCTAAGAAAGCATACCAGCAAAGAGGGGGGGGCCGGGGGGTTGAGTTGAGAAGTTGCAGGACCTCCTACCGAACCCCTCAAACTTGAAGCAAAGCGGCGAAAACAAAGCCCGATCTGTGCTTGGGAGCGGCTGGTCATGTGAAGTGGCTGTTTGGATCAAACACAAATCCTTGTGGGCACCTGCGGGTTTTGATATCTTTGGAGGCTTCCGTGCTACAGGTTGCAGACACAGGAAGTTGGAGGTAGATGCACTAACACGAGCCCTTTTCTGGACAGGTGTTTTCGTGAACAGTGCCATAAAGACGCGCGAGAAGGACCAGGAGACCTTGCTGCGCCACGTGCAAACGTTCAAACAGCTTGTTGGAAACCTATGGTCGAAGATTGATGTCAATGGTCTGGGGCAAATTTCAATCTCAGACTTCGAGGAATTGTTCCAGAAAGAAGAGATGAAGGCTTTCTTTGACAAAATCGAAGTAAGTGCCGTCGATGCATGGACGCTTTTCGACAGTTTAGACGCAGATGGAGACCACCTCGTGAGCTATGAGGATTTCACCGAGAGATGCTTGCAGCTTCATGGCGCCGCCAGGTCGGTGGATCTTTTCGCTCTCAAGCAACAAACCGGAAAGCTTTGGGATCAGCTTCAGGTAGTTGAGGAATCTCAGCGGGAGGCCGTGAAGCATTTAGCTTGGCTGATGCGAGCTGTTGCGTCGCTGCTACCTGAGCATTGTGATACATCATCTCGATCCAACGATGAAGTCATTACCTGCGAATTGCGTTGGGCTGAAGCGGACGAAGCGCAGCATTAAGCGCTTGCTGAGCTCGGACAGGACGTCCATTGATGGCATTCTGCAGTCAAACTGCGTGTGACTTGAGGGTTTAGTGGTGCACAGCATGCACAACTGAACTGCCACGTTTTTGAGTCGACTGCATGTGTTTGCTGCGCTATTGTGGCGTTGCTTACTATTGTGGTGTTGTTTACCATGCATTTGTCCACATGTGTTCTACCTCCATCTTGATAGCTGGTAGCAGCAGGTCCACGCTTTGCCCCCTGCTGTTGCCATTTTTGCTCTTCCGCTCCGAGCAAAGTTCGGGACGGACGCATGCACTGCAGAGTCGACGGAGCAAATATGTGCAGCGCTTCCAGCTACTACTATAAGTAAGCTCAGCTCACTAACGCTCGGCCCTCCCAGGCAGCAACAAGCATAGAGCAGAAACAAAACACATTACATTTCCTGCTGCAATCAGCCCACACACGGCAGAATCAGCATCAGCACAGCTAAGCACGACTGTTCCGGAACTACTGATGATGATGCTGCTGGTGGTGATGACGATGACGACGAGAATCGTGAAAGATGCCGTGCCGATCCTCTCCCTCTTTACCTCTTTATCACTCTCTCTTTATCACTCTCTCTCTCTCTCTCTCTCTCTCTAGCTAGGAAATAAAAGATCTAATAAACATTGCCTTGTCTTATGTTGGTATGCGCACTTTTGACAAGAGTAGAAACTAAAGTGGTCATAGCGCAAAAGTTAGACTTGCACATATCAGCCCATGGTGCAGTTACTGGATAGTCTTGTGAACTTCCCATATCATCAACATTGTTGAGTGCCCTGCCCTTCACATCAGGTCTCAGTTGCAGATGGCCGAGTCAGCAGGAAAGCGAGCATCCATGGCTCCTGCCTCAGGCTCACAAGGTAGCATGTTACATTCTATGCAACTAACTTTTATTCCCTCTCCCTCTTCCTCTGCCGCGCTCGCCCTCGCTCTTGCTCTCGCGCTCTCTCTCTCTTCTCTCTCTCTCTCGCTCGCTCGCTCTCCCTGTCGCTATCTCTCTCTCTCTCTATATATATACATACATAGAAGAGATATATGAGAATTATTGAACTCATACATCTATTCTAGTTCGTGTTCGTACTCAGTCATATATTTACCACCAAGAACGCAAATCTCTGTACATACACATGGCGGCATGCATGCAAGCAGGTGCATCCATTCGTCTACATGTTGGTTATGTGTTTGTGCTCGTGTAGTTGATTTTGGGCTTCAGGAGTTCGGATTTGAGAACTGTCCCGTCGAACAAGGATGTCCTTTCTGGCTGCACACCACTTCTAGTTCTATAGTGCTTCAAGTTTGTCTGAAAAGAGATTCCTGAACTCGGGTCGGGGAACATGAATTTGCACGCCCTGCACCGAAATGCTGAGGCTTTGGCACAGCATCATCTTGCTGAGGACCGCGAGATGCGATAAGGCTAAGCGGTGCAAGAGGTTTGCGGATGCTGGCGGCCCTGAAGTAGGGTGCGTGAGTGTGTGTGTGTGTGTGTGACCATGTGACCCCACCCCAGGTTTCTTTTTTGAGCCCGCGAGGATGACCAGAGACAAGAGCTGGAGGCGATTCGAGGGCGGCTCGCAGCGGCAGAGGGCCGTGAGTTGGAGCTGAGGCGCCTGCGAGGGGAGAGAGGATAGCAAAAAGTGAGGGCTGAAGGTTTTCTCGGCGAATTATAATTGAAATCCCCAACCGAAAGCAACGACAGCAGACATCCAAAAGGCATCATATGCTTCAGTATATAGGACACTGCATTCACAAAAAATATAATGCAGTTATAATCCTTAGGCTATCACCGATGAATACTTCATGATTGGATCTTTGCGGAGACCTTACCGACAAATCATTAGAAGATGGCATTTCCATTTTTGCTATGCTAGGGTATCGGGGGAGATGGTGGGGAATATGGTGTTTTGAGGGTATGGGTCGAGGTAGGGGGATCTCCCTATGGATCTTTGGGTATTCATTCATAGGGGGGGCTACCCGCTTTAAGTGCTAATGTGAAGGCTTGACGATCGTATTGCCCAAATGGAAAGGGTATCTGCTACCTGATATGCCAGCAAATCTCAGCCCAACCACACAGGACTCAATTGGAGGGCACCAGCAGGGAAGCCGATGCCTTAGTCTCTGGGGTTCGAGTGTTACGTGATCTGATATATGACGACAATACTAATATGATGTATTCTGTCAAGAAGAGAGCTGGCAGTTATAGCGAATCCACAAGATGTTCTCCACTTGCATGAGGCTCCGGCAGTTCAGCGCGAACGGCGATTGACGGGTTCTGTATTTCGTCTCCATACTAGCGTCACAACTGCAGGCATGCAATCGGCCCCCGGCTGTTAAAAGAAGAAGTGGACGAGAAATGTTGGACTTGAGATCGCGAGAATCGTGCACCCTGCTCTCTCTGCTCGGGACCGAGGCGGAGCGCGCAACCCAATCGAAGACAGAAGCCCTCCAGCAGGCATGTGGCGCTTGCTGCTTTGTATTGTGCCCCGACATGTCGTTGTCGTTTGCTTGGGACCAGTTCGCTGTAGATTGCATCTTGTCATCAGAGTCAGGAGCTGGATGCTGCAATTTCACGCGAGGGAGAGATCAGGCCGTGGCTGTTTACAGTTAAAGACTTCACCTCACGGAAATACTCTGCTTGTCAGTTGGTTTGTGCCAGCTTGTCAGCGCACTGTGGTGCGGAAGGAAACCGCGAACAGCACAGGTCCAAATTCCAGGCTGCGGAGAAGCAGCTGCATGATTTAGTGCAGACCCGAGCTGCGCTTCCAGATGCATCGCCGGCGGTGCAGATGTGATGGTAAGAGGATCGTCACGAGCATGTACTTTGCAAGGAGCCTGTTGCAAGCATGCAGAGGGTCCGGTTGCTGTAGAATTTCGTCTTAAGCGAGCTGAGGCTCAGAGGGCGCGTGGGGCTGAAGAAGGTCATGAGAAGCAGCTTGCCAGAGTACAGGAGGAGAGTCGACGTGTCACCAGTGCGGATCTGGGCATGGGAAGTCAAGTGAGTAATCGCGACGGCCCGCAGCCCATGGACAGGCTCAGAGATGCAGGGCGAGCTCTTTGGTACACCTTCTGCAATGTATACCTAGCCACGCAAGCAGCAGCCAAACCTGCAGATCCAGAGACCGTCGGAGTGTTGCTCGATGGCTCGGCTACGGTGTGGTGAGTGATGTCGAGGCACGTTTTTGCGTTCTAAAGTGATGCGGCTGGCGGCTAGGTGTAAATTCAACGATACCAATGGCACACGGATTGAATCTCTGGAATATCCCTGCTGCCCTGGCCAGTCCGCCCGGTAGCGAAGCGGCTGCCCAAAGAGTCGCTCCTCAGCAGGACGTGCTTCACCGGTTTCCTATGGGTGAATTTCGAGACCAGCTCATAAAGCCGTGTTCGCAGCGAGAGATCTATGCACCTAGCGACCTAGCATACATATACCTTCCTTAGCCTTTCAGATTGAACTCGAGGTCGAAGATGGCATGCCAGCAAGCGAAGCTGTCGGAGGCGATGATGCGAATCCAGAAGGGGGCGACGCCCTGGACCCGGCAACAGAGGGTTGAGAGTTCAGACCAATCCATACCGGGTAAAGCCCCCGAGTTTGCGAGCACGTGGGATTGGTTGGTACAGTATGGCTGTCGGAGGCTTCCACAGAAGTTCTGGCTGGCTGAGAGACGGCATCTGAGTTTGGTTTGACAAGGCCACAACCATGCCTGCTGCAGTGGATGATGCACATCAACAAGGCGGTGCTGTCGTGGCCCCGATCACCCGGCAAGTCAGGGTTCGAACATCAGTCAGATTTGTGATTCAAGGGTCTTGGCTGCCATGCCAACTGCAGCGCCACTAATAGGCGGGAAATGCTGCTACACCAGCAGTTCATTTCGCTCGACATGTACTGTAGGTTCCGGTGCAAAACTGCAGGCACAGCAATGAAATCGGCGTAAGATGAATAATTTTCCTCCTACAATATGCAAAGGCCCGCCCTCCTCCCCCTCAAACATTATGTCCGGCGACAAAAATAAGATACCAGCGGCCCATTTCATAACCTTTCTATTCTGCAATGCTTCTTGCCGAATTTCTTACTCACACACTCTGCACCTGCATTGCTGTGGTCCTGCAGTCCCAGCAGTCATTGAAGTCTTACGTGCCCGCAACTCCTCTCCTGAGAGAGCTGCGAGCAAGGGACAGTTCCGTTTAGACAGAGCTTGCGGGAAACAGAGAGAGGGAGAGGGAGAGAGAGAGAGAGAGAGACTCGGGGGACATCACGGGGGAAACCTTGAGCGACACCAACATGCCTGACCTGATGGCAACTCTGCGACACGTCCTCCAAGCTATTGGGGGAGGGACAGCGACTCTGGATCACTGGCGACAACTGCTAGATGTGGGGGATAGCCTTCGGTCTCTGTTCGAGATCACAGAAGGGGACCGAACGGAAGAGAACGTGCCACCGGAGCTCGGGGGCATCCAACCAGGAGAGTACGCTCTCATTTTCGAGCAGATTGCAGCTTCCTTCGCGCAGTGGAACCACGACGAGCAGGCAACGCTGCAGGCCGACCTCCTCAACCTGTTGCACACCACGTCAGCCATCTTGCACAGCCAAGCAGCGGATGTCGCTGCCAATGCTGCGGAGTCTCAGCCCCCGCTCCGTCGGGGGGACCCACGACATGCTACGAGACAAGCTGACTGGTGGCTACATGATAGGCATCATGGGCTGGGGGACAGTGCAAGAATGAGTGTCGATGAGGAGGGCCAGAACCACAACAGCGGGGGAGGATCCTCGAGTGAACCTGCTTCGGATGCTTCCCACCGGCGCCGACGAGAACTCGCTGCTCATGCCCAGGACTACTTCTGACCCCGGGGGAACCGTGAGAGGGGAACGACCAAAGTCATGCCGCGGGGGAGTGAGTTTCATGTTTACCTGTTTCCTTTGGCTTTCCTAGCTGGGTCGCTTGTTTTCCTAAATAACCCCAGCGACATGCTCCTTGGGTCAAC